CGTCTTCCCCGAACGTCTGTGCCCATTAGCCATCGTGCCGCTGTATCTTCTGAGCCGCTGGCCCATTATGCCGGGGATGCTGGCCGTGGCGCTGCTCTCGGTGGGCGTGTCCCTGTCGCTCTGCGTCGTGCCCGCGCTAGCACGTCTCACGGTCTTTCCCCTGCTCTCGGCGCTCGTGCACAAGTTCGCAGCCGCGTATTTGACGGACAGCGTCCGCATTGAGTTTTGCTTTGGCTCGTGTGCCTTGCGCAAGCACCGCAGTGCCGACTCGGAGCTCGTGCGTGGCGTCACGATCTCGCTCTTCTTTGTCACGGTGCAGAGCGAGTTCCTCAAGTCACTGGCGTTTGTCAAGCAAGGACTCGCACCTGTTGAGCTCCAGCGCGTGGCGATTGAGAAGATTGAGATTCATGTAGCCACGACGTGGAAAATGGTGGTGAAACTCGAGGGCGTGAGTGTAGACGGCCGGATCGTGGACCCTAATGTGGACGGCGTGTTTGAGCTGCAAGACGCGGTGGCCATGAAGCTAACTGAAGCGGCGAATTGGATCACGCTGCTAGATGTAGAGCGTAAGAAAACAGAGCTGAGAGTGAAGCGAGAGGAGACGCAAGCAGCGCGCGCTCCTGGAGCGGCAGATCAAGCTTTTAGTTTCAAAGATCGCGTGCTGCAGCAGATTGCGGCACAGGTGGACATCCACGTCAGCGAGTTGCGAGTTACTATCACGGGACTGACTCCTGGAGCTGCTGCCGTTGACGGTCATGATGAAGTAAACGAAGAGAAGGATGGCATGGATGCAGACGAGGCCACAAATGGCTCGATCTCCGGGCTTCTGTTGAAACCTACACGCGTGAGCTTTGCTCTGGACTCGTGTGACGTGTTGTCGGATGTGTTGCACGAAAACGTAGACGAGGCGTTGCAACTTATCTTGACGTCAGAGGAGATCAAGGTGGAGCACGCTATGAGCATGAAAGGTGGGAGCATCTGTGCTACTGTTGTAGACGGTGAAGACGGAAGTGAAGAGGTCGTAGTGGAGAAGAAGGTGGACTTACTGAAGGGCAAAAGGGAAAAGAGCCCTGGCGAAAAACCACTACTGTCCTTTTCAAGTTTGGCCGTAAAGCTGCATGTACCACCCATGCCACGAGTACTAGGTATCGTGGAGGACATCGCTCCTATTTCGATGATGAACCGTGGGGCGCAAGTGGAGCTACTATCTTCATCGACGATCAACATCTCGATCACACGTGAGTTGGTGGTGGGAGTACTTCGCGACCTGGTCGTTCCATACAATGACCACCAGGTGCTAGTGCAGTCGGTGCGAACGCTGGAACATGATGAAAGTGTTCGCAAGCCCATTTCTGAGGAGGACGAGAAATTTTATGTGAGCAATTTCGACAAGGAGGATAGTAACAAGTCGCTATCTAGCCAACAGAAGGCGGAGATTAATGAAAAATTGCGCACACTTGAAACGGCGATGTCGCTGAACAAGATTCTTAAGCTGCGCAGTCGGGCGACTGGATTGGCCAAGTACTACCGCCGTGATCAAGACGAGCTTACCCTTGCTGATGTCAAGGCAATCGTGCTAGAGAACGCAACTAAGACAAGCAACATTATGTTCAGGGTACTGCAGATCGCGTTGCGCTCGGACAGTATCGTGATTGGGTTTGTGGAAAGGGATCACCAAGTCTCAGAGATGGCAGTGGTCGGCTTTGGCGCCAATGTGCGCACCCATGCAATTGCGGAAGGTGAGGAAAAGCAGAAACTGGACGTGGATGTGGTCGTGGGCCAGACGACGTTTTTGGTTAACGTCGAGTCTTCGGCTCCCAAAACTGTTGCTCCCACGGAAAAGCTACTGTTTGCGGACTTTGGCAATGTGACAACAGATTCTGACGCGGCAGCGGCGCCACGGATGCTGATGGCCCATATAAACCAATTCGAAAATGGAAAACATGCTGTTTGTGCTAGCTTGAACAATGTAAAGGTGATCCTGGCAGTGGGCGCGCTGGATACGCTTTTTGCTGTATGTGGATCGACTGAGCACGAAGTCTGCGCAAGTTCTGTCGACTGCGCGTCCACCTCCAACACCGGCTACTTACTCTGAGCAATTGCCTGTGCCGGTGGATATTGCCAAAAGTGAGATGGAGACGTTGACGAAGGAGGTACCAATGTCTTCGTTCAGCCTTGTTTGGTGGGTTGTTGCTGAAACTTGACGTTAGCATGAGCGACTGCCGCATCCTCTTGCTTCCCACTCCATCTTATTCAAAGTCACTGTATACGGATATGGATGTGGAGACATGGCAAAATGACTACGAAGTGGACTGTCACGGGGATATACCAGTGACATTCAGCATTTGTCTCGAAAGCTCTAAGGTAAAGGAGTCGATGGAGTTCAACGCGCAAAGTTTTAGTATCGGTGCGCAATACGTTCATAACGCCAAAGAGATGGAAACAATCCTGGCCCCAACAAGTGTGGCGTTGCACTTCACGCTAGAACAAGACTCCGTAGACTCTTTGACGTGCCACCAGAGCGTTATGGTGCACATGCCAGATGTCTTAGTGTCTGGATCAGACCTGAGTTTGTCGCTGTTGGCGTCTTGTGCTGAAGCACTTGGTAACGTACAGACCACCACGCCGGACCAAGCCCGACTCCGCCTACTGAGTCGTATGAAGCAAAACGAAATTCGACGCCAGGCTGAAATCGATGTGGTTCTCGACCGCTTGCACCGTCTTTTCGACGAAATTGACGAAAACGGGAATGGCCGTATTGAGCTAGGCGAGCTTCTTCTATTATTGCGCCGCGTCAAGATTGGTGATACGTTGCTTGAGAGCGAGTTAGAGTATCTGGTTCGTGCACTCTTCAAAGAAATCGATCAGGACGGCGACGGGTTTCTGGAATTCCAAGAGCTACGAGCATACTTGCGTGATGACCTGTTGTCCGATAACTCGGTGGCAGCTTCGGGTGCACCGTCGGGGAATGGCAGCAATGCTCTCAGTGGCTTTCTTAATTTGCGCGGAAGCGAGTACCATTCGTTCGAAGTGATCAACAAGATGTGCGAGACGAAGATTGCGTTTTCTGAACAACTCGCAGAGTGGATTCAGCGTCCTGTGTTTGTCGAACGGTTTTGGGAGCTGTTTGAGAGCGAAGCTCACCTTACGAAACGCTCCCTGTGTGATCAGGATCCGCTGGATGTGCAAAAGAAGTTAGTACGTTTGCTGAAGAACTACGATGCCGCAAATCTCATCTGGGATGCTTTGGTTCTGCCTGTGTTGGAAGATCTTTGTACGGACCACGCCTTTTGCGAGTGGCTACTGCAACCATTCACACATTGCGGAGGTCTCAGCGAGTACCAGAGTGCGGCGAAAGTTATCGCAAAAAAGAAACGCGGTATTTTTAGTGCAGCCATGAATGAAGCAGAACATTTGGTTAGCAAGCTTACACAGAGCGCCAACCCGGTGAAGAAGGAGTTGCGGCTTACGACGGACGTACGAATGGGGAACCTGCGGCTCGTTCTAACGGACACAGAGTTGCCCACTCGTTTCTGTCGTGGTGATTTCGTCATCAAAGATGTGAAATTGTCAGTGAGGTTGACTGGCAAAGAGATCGATGAAATTGGTCCCGTAGATTGGGTCGGTTTGGCTACATCTGGCGATTCCGACTGGATGGGGCTGTTTGGGTTCAAGCTGTCGTCGTCATGTTATAGTGAAGCTGCTGCTGACATGGAATTCATTATTGAGCCAGTGGGAGCTGGTTGTAGGCCTGTCTTCTAGCGATGGCGAGAATGGGTTTTCAGTGTTAATGGAGGCTGCAAAACGATTTCAAATCAACGTGACCCCGAGCGTTCTAAGAACCTATCGTGCTCTGATGGATGCCATTGACGGAGAAGTCCAACAGAACGGTCTACAAACGCACCAGAACAGCTTCCGTAACTCAATGACTGCAAAGAAATGCAAAGAAACTGATTGCCTGGTTGAAAATTTCACTGGGTGTACGATTGTGCTAAAATTGAGCGGCAGTGACGAGACGATCACGATCAAAACGCATGATCGCGCTTACATCGAGAATGGTGTTTTGAAGGATGGAGAAGCAACACTGGACCTACTCGAAATTGACCAGTGGGGCACGAGCAACACCTCGGTGAAGCTACCCCACTTTGGCAGCGTAAATATTGGCGTGAGCACCGCAGAAGCCTTACAAGCTACACTGTTCGTCACATTATTTTCACGATTGGAAAACCCGAGGCGACAGCATATCGTTCTGCGATCAAACGCGTTCTTCTGCAACCATAGCTCTGAATGTTACGAAGTGAAGTACTTGAGTTTAGGGTGTGAAGGCCGAAAGGCAGTGGAATCTCAAGTAGTCAAGTTACGACCTAATGAGCGCATGTCATTGCCACTCTCGCTTTTGATGGGGATTACAGAGTTTTACGCGCGTCCTGAAAGCCATGAACACTGGATCGTCAAGACTTCCCTAAACAACGATGTGTTGACGTCCGAGGAGGCAATCAGAGAGCTTGACGAGCACGAAGCAGAGCGCAAAGGAAAGACGAAACAGCACCGAGGCGGTACCATCGTGTATGGTGATACTGAGGAAACTTGCACAAAGATGATTCGGCGACTGACCTCGAATGTGATCGTGCGTCGTTGGTACCTGCGTTCGCATTTCGAATGGGAAATCGCGCTGCTTCCTCCATTTGTTGTTCGTAACTCGCTTCCTTATGAGATGGAATTTCGGTTTATCGAGTACAAGTCGAGTTCATTGAGAGACATGAAGACCGAATTCGCGAAAGTGGATAATCTCCTGCGTCGCGAGGGTGCAGTCGAACCGTCTACTGGAGTGCTGAGCGGCGTGGTGGATTCAGGCCACGACATGGAGGTGTCCGGAGTTAGCGGAGGGCATCCTGGGTACCTGTCGATTCGGCTCGTGGCCAAGAAGCGTAGTACAGACAAGCAGGTGGTGTCACCGTGGTCAAAACCGCTTTTAATGATGATTCATAAAGGAGTCGAGCAGTTTACGACGTCACGAGAAAGTATCGAAGTCGATGTCGGTGTCAAGTTCAATATCGATCGAATCACTCTTCCTGGCTACCCTCGACTCGTGCGATTTTCGAGCCCGTATTGGATTGTAAATAACTCGTCACTTGCGTTCGACTACGCGTCGACTGAGCCTGGCGCGAAGCACACATCGCTCAAGTCCATGGATGTTTGTGCATCGTTCAGATACCCTATCATGACATCATTACCTCATGATCGTCTGAGTTTGAAACCGGTTGGGAACCTAAACCGCCGGCCCAAGGCATGGGTTGAATTTGGTAGTATGCCGGAGACCGCGTATAAAACATCTGTGATATCGGAGCACGCAGTCGAGAGTGCGCGATGGTCAAAACCTATGAACACGACCGCGATCAACACCATGGGCGAGATCGTGTGCGGCCCGAGCGTTTTCGGCGTGAAAATGGAAGGTTTATACGGTCTTTTCGAGCCCGGCGTTTCGCTAACGTTAAGCCCCCGATATTTTGTCCAAAACTGTCTGAGCCAGAAGTTGTACATGCAGAGCTTTGCCTCGCACGATACTGACCCTCAAAAAGTGAACGAATTGTTCCACAAGCGAAGTGTTGATGTCGTGAAGCAGCTACACATGACACTGGAGGACGGTCAAACTACACCATTGTACCACTTCGAGGCGTTGAAGAAGCACGAGTCTGCAGAACAGAGCGAGCGCTATGTTTCGTTCTCATTTTCGGAAGAATGGAGCAACGACGCCGACAAGAAGAATTGGTCATTTGCGATTCCGATTAACACGGCTGGAGACGTGTATCTACAAGTCTACTCATCTGTGCGTCAGCGTTATTTGATCTGTCAGGCCAGTGTGCAAGTGGTGGATATGTACGTGTATGTTATTCTGACGGATGTGTCGTGCGCGCCGCCATACCGCATTGAAAATTACACTCCATTTACGGTGACATACGCTCAGTTGGGGGAGTCGTCTATCTTCAAAAGCGGGCAAAAGGAAGCGGCTGCCACCGTTGTGTCTGGTGCGTGGCACGCTTTCGCCTGGTTCAATCCACTGTCAAAGGAACGCCACATCGAACTTCGTCTTTCACATCAGGATGCTCCGAAAGCGCAGAAGAAAAATTATGATATTGACTATGTTGGCCACCTGGACCCTATCACCATGTGGGTGTCCAAAGACGGAGAGAAACAGCACGCGGTCGAGTTGACTGTTCAAGTTGTCGTTGAAGAAAGCACGCGTGTACTCAAGATTGCTGAGAAAGAGCTGGAGCTAAGTCTGCTGGAAAATCAAGATTCGAAAGGAGAGGAAAATCTACGGCACCGGCGGATACTCTTCGCATCTTCGTTTGATATTGCATTTGATGGTTTTGGTTTCTCCTTGCTGGATGGCTTCCCACAGGAAGTGTTTTTCGCTTCAGTGGACGTAATCAAAGTGCAGAAATCTCCCTCCTCGCTAGAATGGACCTTTTCAGTACTGCATTGCCAAACAGACAACATGTTGACGACTGCAAAGTTTCCGGTAATTATGAACCCGGTAAATGCTGGGTATAGTGGCAGGTCTGTCGGAAAGGAACCTGAGCCATTACTAACGCTGATCATCGATGCTGATCTGGAAGCTCGTGTGGGAACGTACAAGCTTCTTGAGTTCAGCTTAGGTGACTTGGCCGTCAAGGTCGATATCGATTACTTCGCGAGCCTTGTGAAGTTACTTGAGCCATACTTGGTCTCAGATGCGACAATTGCGCACCGCTCGAGACTTACGCTAGAGGGCACGCTTGACCGTCGTGCACCACCCATGCCTGTGATGCTGTCGAGTGCTGATGGCGGCGTACGAACGGATTTAGTGTACTTCGACGTCTTGCGCATTTCGTCATTGTCAGTCGAATTAGAGTATTCGATTACGCGCAAAGACATCGTGTCGTCCACAGGTGGCGGTCACTCGATTATCTTCGGCTTTTTGAGCCAAATCATTGGCCTCGTCGGATCCAACTTGAGCGGTTCGCCTACGTTCAATTTCAGTGAGATAATGATTGTGCGTTGTTTTTCGACGAAGGAGAGACTACGAAGTCAGCTGGTCGCAAACTATGTACAACAGGGCGTGATGCAAGCGTACCGTCTCGTTGGAAGTGCAGACATCATTGGCAATCCGATCGGACTTGTGGAAGATCTGGGTTCTGGTGTGGTGGAGTTTCTCAAAATTACAAAGGGCGAGTTGATCGGTGGTGCCCATACGCGCGGTGAAGGAGTAAAGGTATTGGGTAAAACGATTGTGAAATCAGGTGCATCTTCGGTCGCGAAAATTACGGGCTCGCTGGATAAGTTTGTGGGTGAGTTTGCAGATGGCAATACAGGCGACGCATCTCGTGGTGATGGTGCGAGTTCGACTGACAACGCTGGCCTCAAGTTTGCGAAAGACCTCGGCCGCGGATTCACTGGCATATTCACGAAGCCTGTCGAGGGCGCTATGAAGGGTGGCGTAACTGGACTTGTGCAGGGAACAGTGCAAGGCATTACAGGTCCTGGCGTTGTCTTGCTCAAGGGTTTGACATCGACGTCTCACAGCCTTGCACTGGGCGTCCGATCCACAGTTGTGGATCGCTCGCTCCCCATTTGGCGGCCGCCGCCGAAATCCGAAACGTGTGGAAAAGGGCCGACTGGTTGCTGAGTTTGACGAAACTCATTACAAACCAGCCCTTCTGAATCTCGAGGTGCTTGGTGCGAACGGACTGAACTCGGACGAGTCGTGTGACCCTTTGTGCGTAGTGCGAATCGATGGTGTGGATGTAATGAAAACGGCAGTGGTCTACAACACGGTGAACCCGGTGTGGCGAGAGAGCATGCAGCTCGCCCTAACGGGCGGAGAGGACGAGGTGCAATTCGTGGTGAAGGACTCGTACGGTGGCACTGTAGCCAAGACAATCGGCAAATGCATTTTGAGTATGGCGCAGCTGCAAGATGATTTCAAGCCGCCTGAGTACTCATCGGATCTTGCGCAATGGGTTCATACGCAGGTAAAACCCGGAAACACGAAGAAGAACGTAAGCCACGTCATTGACGAGAAGGATTATTCCTTGGTGATGCTGAACAGGAAAAAGTCGAAGAAGAAGAGCCATGCAGCGTCTCTGGGAGACGAGGCGCACCAGGTCCTCGTAACGGTTGTGTCATTGAGAGACATGGTCGTCACTAGCTCGACTGGTAGCGGCATGCTTGGATTCGGCAACTTGGGCAGTAGCACGCCCAATATTTCGCCGTACATTTCTGTGCACGTAGGCAAGAATGCTAACCGTACGAACACCGCAAAAATGTCGTTCGTCAAGAATCAAAAAGAAGGAGCAAGTGGGCCACGCGTCGTGGGAAGAGAGCTTTACGTTTCCGCTGACAGCTAAGGAGCTCAGTCGTGGCGGTGCGGGCTCGAAGCTGACTGTTTCGCTGAAGGACAAGAGTATGATTGTCGACGCAAGACTCGGGTCGGCATCTATGGACATTGACGCGAGGACTCATGCGACAGAAGAGATGGTACTAAAAGACGAGTCCGGCAAGCCGATAGGATACCTCACGGTGAAGGTAGAGGTCACCAGCTCAGCTACATCGTCTCGCTCGCTGTCGTTTCAATCGATCGAGTCCGTTGGCGATATGGCGTTCTTGCCGTCAGACGCAGTCAAGGCTGGCACCATCCGCGTATCGTGCAAGTTCGAGTAACAACTGCTCTATTGTGTGTCGGGTACTTCGACTTTATATCATACACATCGGCGGGATGAATCTAAAAACTGAACAAGTAACGGTAGTGTATCGGATCGCACTTCTAGATATCGTCTCCCACCACTCTTGACTGTGTTCAACTCGAATGGGACCGGCCATCACGCGCCCTCCACGCTTCTTCATGGGCTGGCGGGGTCTTTCCACGTTACTTGGTGTGCTATTTGGCCACACGAACGTCCTTGGAAAGGACACTTCTGTTCCTGTCTGGCAACCTGCAGTTTCTACCTTGACCACCGCGGACCCTTACGCCATGACGCTTCAAGTCCTCCAGGTATATCCAGTTTGTGGATTTGTTACAATAAGTTGTACGAGCAACTACCGTGGCTTACTTCGAAATGGTCGTACATGATTCTCGTAGTACAATTTGTTCGGCCGGCCGTACGAAGTCTCAAAAGATGGACAGCGCGAGCGACTGCAGCGGGTCCCTGAGTCACTTGATCGGATTTCCAAATCGATTGACGTCGTGACGTTAGCCGAGGCCGACATTCAGACGCAGCGGGACGACATGCTCGCGCAATTCCAAAAGTTTGGTTTTCATCATGTCACGTCGATTTTGCACGACCCGGACCCGTTTACCAGTTTATTGAACGGTGGAGTGATGATAGTTTCCAAGTGGCCCATTGTCCGAGAGGCACAACATGTGTACCGTAATGCTTGTCACTACTCGGACTGTCTTGCGGCAAAAGGCGTCAAGTATGCTCGCATACTGAAGACCGTAGATGGTGTATCCAAGATATTCAACGTGTTCGCAACGCATATGCAGGTAGAGAGTATGTTGGATTTGGTGCTGCGAATCGAAAAGACACTGCATGTTATACTGTGGGGCATGATGGACTGTAGGCTTGGTCGACGCTCGAAGGACGGTCTGATCGGATCGAGCAAGCTAAGCAGGTATGTTCATGCCCGACGTGGATCCATGGGCACGCCGCATAATCTCGATGTGTTCTCACAGATGCGCCAATTTATCGATGCTATTGGCATTCCGCATCACGAGGTAGGACAGCAAGCGTTGTAGTACACACAACGTACCGCGTGACCAATGTCGAATTCGTGGTTTCTGATTGCCATGGACTTGAACGTAGCCTTTGCTTCTTGCCGGGGACTTTAACGTGGACAACCATACGTTTGGAAGTGAAGTGGCATATCTGGTGGAACTGCTTCAAGCACACGAGCCTCGTCGGATCGGTGAACAGAACTTTACTAGCGAGTGCGTCGTGCGTTATTTGTTGCAATGCTTTCTGTGTAGGCTCATTTCCC